TTAATTGGATAGGTGCATGAGTGGATGGGTGGATTGCTGGATGAGTGGATAGGTTGATGGGTGGATGGGTATATGGGTGAATGATTAGATAGGTGGATGAATGGATGAGTGGATAAGTGGATGAGTAGATGGGTGTATTGGTGGATGGGTGAATGGGTGAATGAATGAATGATTGGATAGTTGGATGGGTGGATAAGTGGATAAGTGGATGGGTGGATGGGTGAATAATTGGATAGGTGGATAAGTGGATGGGTGGATTGCTGGATGAGTGGATAGGTGTATGGGTGGATGAGTGGATAAGTGGATGAGTAGATGGGTGGATTGGTGGATGGGTGAATGGGTGAATGATTGGATAGGTGGATGGGTGGATGAGTGGATGAGTGGATGGGTGGATGGGTAAATAATTAGATAGGTGGATAAGTGGATGGGTGGATTGCTGGATGAGTGGATAGGTGTATGGGTGGATGAGTGGATAAGTGGATGAGTAGATGGGTGGATTGGTGGATGGGTGAATGGGTGAATGATTGGATAGGTGGATGAGGGGATGGGTGGATGAGTGGATGGTTGGACGGGTGGATGTGGGGCTGGCAACAGGGCCTGGTGCGGAGGCCGACGTCTCGGGAGGGGGCAGGTGCGGATTTGTGCGCAAATGGCCTACAAGTTGATGGTTGTGTCGAGGGTGTGTCGGTTGCACAACTGGCATCGAGCCACACCCGCAGGCAAGCATACAACGACGAGTTGCACGCCAGGCGAGACGAACGGACTCGGTGCCCAGCATGCGCCCTCCTCCTTCGTCCGAGCGCCGGCAGCTCCAGCCTCAGCCAGCGCTCTACCCCCTTTTTGATGGGCCCCTCGCCCCCTTCACCTTGGACCGGGCTCAAGTCGCCTCGACAGTGGATAACATAACAGACAGACACACAGACAGACATACAGACAGACGTACAGACAGACAGACATACAGACAGGCGGACAAAGCGATCCGACCTCGAGGCGATCCGATCGGAGAGCACCAAACGAGAGACACGCCGAAGAGGATGCTTTCGGGCCTGGCAACAGCCAGACAAGAGGCAGTTAGGAGCAGAGACAGACGAGAATTCGACTGGCTCACACACACTCTC